GATAGGACGAGAGGAAATGGCCTCAAGTTGTGCCAGGGGAGGTTTAGATTGGACATGAGGAAAAATTTCTTTACTGAAAGAGTGGTTAAACATTGGAACGGGCTGCCCAGGGAAGTGGTTGAGTCCCCATCCCTGGAAGTATTTAAAAGACGTGTAGATGAGGCGCTTAGGGACATGGTTTAGCGGGCATGGGGGTGTTGGGTTGATGGTTGGACTCGATGATCTTAGAGGTCTTTTCCAACCGTAATGATTCTATGATTCTATAAGGGGACTATCGTGACTCTGCCCAGGTTTTGAGGAATCCAAGCATACAGGTGACCGCTGACTGAAGTATGAAGTCTCCCTGGTTCAAACTTACCTGAGAAGACATACTTCGTGTGTAGAAAAAATTTTTTAAACCATTTTAAATTATAAAATGGGTGTCTTTTTACCATTTTACATGATTGTTAGGATTTTGCATGAGAAAGTACAAGGCAGCTGAAAAGACAGCTGAGTGACTGTGTGATGTGCCAATTCTAACACTTGTAACAGTGCTGCAAAACACACCATCAGCTGTTGTACTCACAGGCACTTGAAATGCTCATCTGTTACGTTCACGTGCTCTTGGAAAGAAATGTGCTTGATATCATCTCAAAATGTTAAATTGCATTGTTTTCCATACATAAACACCTTTTAGGCACTGCTCAATGGCATTACTGAAGCTGACAGCTTTGACTGAATTACATACCTGCTACAGCGTCACTGTCTGGAACAGTGTGGTCAGGTTCCGTTATCAAGACCACTGATGGCTCATCACCTGCATCAGACAGGGAAAAAAACAACAACATGCTGTCTCTTAAACACTTGTACATCCTGGTAACTCCAGTTATACTCTGAGCCCAGAGTATAACTTCAGTTATACTCATTAGCACCTTGCTTCCACTACTCACAACTGTATAAATACAAAATTTCGGTGGTAATGTACAAGGGAAACATTGTAGGCATTTATTATTATTATAATTATACTGTTTCAAATTAAGTGACTTTTCAGAAAAACAATAGCTAATGCTGTTTGGATCAAGTCCATTCTATTCCTTGATGGTTACAAATACAACCTTTTAAAAATCTTAACTAAAAAATAAGAAACTTAAATGATCTCTTAGAAGCTGCTTTTATTGGTAGCTGAAAGAGTGCCAGGATTAATCCATTGCCTTTTTGGGAAGAAGTCCTCCATTTATGCAGTATATTTGGAAAGTTCCTTGATTCTTGGAGCTGCTTTATATTCTCCAAGAAGCATTATCATGCTCAATATCTCACTAGAATTTTAAATTTAATTTGCAAAGCTGTTTACATTACACCATACCTCAAGTAACATGATGAAAAGCTTTTTTCAAGGGATTACTTATAAAACTAGATTAGTACAGCTAGCAGGTATATGTAGAAAATGAGGCTATGAACATCATACCAAGTATTTTTGATGAGGTTGTTTGCATACTCAAAAAAAAAAAAAAATGTCATGACCAAAATTTGCGAGGCAGTCAGAGATTTCTTCTGTGTTAGAATTCCATATGCAGCTGCGACAAGACCACTTTTTTCATGGGAGTCACCACAGTGTGCTGTCATCTGATTAACATTGGTACGTCTTCTGTGGAATGAAGACTACAGACTTCTCAGCCTGTCCGTGCAGACGCTAAATAGCCCATGACCTTTTTTGCCTTTAAAAACAAGCCAACTAGGGCAGGAGTCCCTAAGCTATAATGTATGAGCCACTTGGTGATACACGGTCCAGCACAGAGCTGGGAGCTATTGCTGTCTCTGGTGGTGTCTGTCATAATGCTCAAGGAGGGGGGGACTTGGGATTTATTTTCTTTTTTTTATGAACATAGAACTGGGATCACCATAACTGTTGGCAGAGAAAAGTATTTGTTTTGCTGTACCCTTCTCTTTGTCTGCTTGGTGGCAGTGCGTTGTCCCTAAAGGACTGGCTGGATTTTACTGTGGGAGCTTTTAAGTATATCCATGCTGAGCTTTCTGTTTGGTACTAGTAGTTTGATTGATGTGAAGTGCACGTCCAAGTAAGGTATAGCAGATATTATGTGTGCACAGTTAGCATTTCTCAGTGTTCGAGGCTATTTGCTTAGAGTGGAACTCAATTTTATAAATAAATGTCTTTACAGGCCTGTTCCTTTACTGGCTGCTGTAGGACTGGTATCGGTCTCAACACAAGCTTATGAGCCAATTTTTTTTTTTTTTTTTTAGTTAAAAGAACTGCTTTATATTAAAACTGAATTTCTACTGAAGGAATTTGGTAAATTCTTACAAGTTTAACTTCTCAAAATGAGACACTTTTAAAGCTAATTGGAGTAATCTATCTAACAACATGGCAAGGAGAACCTTTGCATGGTAAACCTCATCTGTATTGTGTTGCTGCTTCAAGTAATAGAGAAGTGAAATCCGAGCTTGATTAAAATCAGTAGGAATCTTGTCAGGATTTTTGTCTTAAGACTTTTAAGCTATGCAGGTTAGCCAGCCTCTTAAATGACATTAATATTAAACATCTTACTCTAATTCCTTCTTTCCTGGGAATTACAGCAAATACGGAATATATAAAAATCGCTTCTTGTTCAGATAGCAGCATTCAGTTCAAGAAGTTAGAGCAGTAAAGCTCCATTAGTGTAAAAAGGCATTGCCAGCTAAAAATGAGCTATGGAGAGGTATTTCAGTAATGTCAGCAATAAAATTCAGAGTGTATGTACGTATGTGCGCATATATATATGTCTGGAATTTGGTGCCGCACTTGATGAATTGTCAGTTCAACTGCTGTTTGCTGTCCTGCCTATGTGGGTATTTCATACAGTAACAGAGAAAGAATGCAGCTTAAAAAAAAAAAAAAAAAAAAAGACATTTTCAGGAAACAGTGCTGCCTGAAATTACTCTTAGCCTTTATTAACTAATAGTCATCTTTTTTTTTTTTTTTTTTTTTTGGCCAGACCACTAAGATAAAGTTGAAGAACCTATGGTTTGAGTTTCCTCAAAGAGTGGCATTTTTATGTTGCGTAGGGAGGTATGAAATTATTCTCTAGCAACATTAAGCTCATAAAAGTTAATACAACTTTCTTGGGTTTATGTATTTTAATATTATGTAGTTATAGATGTTCTTTTGTTTATAATCCACTTGAAATATATAGCCATTTAATCAGAAGAGAAAGCAATAACATTTAGTTTATTATGAAAATTAATAGCTTTTGTGATATCTCTGAATGTAGTGAATCTTTCTCTTTTGATTTAAATCTTGCTTCATTTTTCAGATATTCTCCATGCAGGATGAAACATTAGATACTTGCTGGAACTAAAGTAGGAAAGCTTTGTCAATTCTGTTTAGTCCCTGACATGAGTACCTTTGTGCTTTTGGTGCCTCAGGTGGCTCCAAAGAAATTGGAAAAGTGCTTAAGCAGCAGTGTAATTGAAATTCAGGAGGGGTTACATGTCTAACCTGTTTAGGCATTCTGTAAATCCCATTTTTCTGCATCTGTAGGCAGTGGATATCTTTGTAAATCTGCTTGATTATAATATCTAAACAGGAAAATACAAACTCTATTATAGAAACTGGCTTATTCTTCTGACAGGGTACTGTATGACCTTAGACATCTCATGCCTCCGATGTGCCCCCAGTGTAATGAAGAGCAGCCGCATGGCAAGTTTAGAGTTCTTCCTTGTTTGTTGCCTCCTCTGCTTCTGTAACGGCAGACTGTTTGCTGGATTTGGCACTCGCTCCTAAGGCCATGAAGATGGAGAAGTTGTGAATGTAAACGTTAGGTCTTGCATAGGTGCAATAGAAGCCATCTGAGCTACAAGGATTCACATGCTGCCTTAATATAATTTCAATGTCACCTACACATCTGTAGGGTAAAAAGTGGTGGCTTAGATTGACTCACTAGCTTCCAGCTGGACCATTTGTCATGGAAATGAATTGCTTTGCCTCTGTTCTAGCCAATACTCAGATTAGATGTTGGGTTCAGTTGTTGCCTCTGGCACTGAGGAATTACTCAGGGCTGTTTCATGCAAATGCACAGATTTGCTGGGGTTAATCAGTGCACCCTCTTTGAGTGTTTAGAAAGTCAATCCATCATTACATAGGAGGAGGGAGCTTTGGTAACAGAAATATTGGGAAATAATGAAATAAACTGTTTAAGATTTTTTTTCCCAAGTCTGTTTTTGCATTTTGCTATAGCTACAACAGGTGTTTATGTCCACAAACAAAAACACAGATTTCTATCTGCACAGAAATCTTTCTACCACTGAAAATAGACAGCTGTCTAGGAACTCCTTTTGTTCATTATTCACAGGTACAAACTGCAGACTAGATGCATGCTGATACGGCTGGGTTTCTTTGCTGTTGAAAATTGTGCTGGTTTAGAGTTGACTAGAATCAGTTAAAAGGCTAGCTGTCAAAGGAAAACCTTTTCCTCCAGCTAAAGTTATTGTGTTTGTTTTAATTGCTAGAGGCTAAAGAGAGTTTATTTAATTTGGACATGCAATTTAAGTTACTTAGTGAGCAGTTTTATTTTCTCAGCTCAGCTTATCAGATCTGCTTAAGCCTATTTGTTGATCATAAAGTACATTAGAAAAATTGTGATTCTTTAAAATTATTTGTTGCACCTAATTAGATTATTGCTTGTAGTCTTAAAATGTCATCTAAACTAATTATTGAACAGATTAATATATTTTCCATTGACCATTACTAAACAACTTTTTATGTAGGGAGGAGGAGGGAAATAGATTTGATATTGCGTCTGGAGTCTGTCAATTTAAGCTTACTGCTGTCAAATTTGGGTGACCTGTTTTGCAAAGTGTTACCTGGGGAAATGTACTTTCGCTAATTACTAAGTGTGTGGAGGGAGGGAAGGCTCTGTGGTAGCCCTGCAGCACACGTGACTTCCATCCAAAGAATCATCCTGGGGCAAAACAGCTACGCTGAAAATGGATTGACTTGGTTTCTTTTAGGGAAAGCAGCAGTGGAAAATAAGCTGTCTGGGATTAACTGCTGCCAAGGAGACCTGTACAAAAGGTGAAAGTTCCAGGGAATACCACATCAATGTCACTTCTGCTGAAGGTTCTGGGAGGCGGGGAGCAGGTCCTTGAAAAACCAGGCAGTCTTGCCAGCAGCTTCTGTTTCCAGTAAGGTGTGTGGATACATGCATGATGTTGTGTGTGTGCAGAGAAGGTATTGGGGACCTCCATAATGCTGTCAGGACTTGCCAAAAAATCCAATTGGAACAAGGCTGGTGGGCCTAAAGCAGAGTCAGTTCTCTTAATGCTGCCTGAAATCTTCTTCACCAGCACTCTGTGTCCTGAGGAGAGTTTTTTTCCAGGAGAAATCCTGGAAGTTTCTTTTTCCACATAGGCAGGGCTTGCAGTCAGAGGAATGGGGGAAAAAAATACAGCAGAAATGTCCCATTACACATGTTAAGGAAGCTGTTTTACTTTTTTTCCCCTCCCTATTACTGCTTATTTTGAGAAACACCTCTCATTTTAGAACATATACTATACATTCTAGAACTATACTATATATAGAAATTTGCTGTTCTGTCTGTGTGCTGTAGTATGCTTTTGTATAGTTCCAGCTCTGAGCAATAGTACGATGTGGTGTATCGCTTACCCTGGCATATTTCATTCCACAGAGATCATCTGTGCCTGCGCTTTTCACTGTTGCAAAACACATTTACGTTGGAAGGCTATAAATGAGGTTCTAGAAGGTATCACAATGGCATACACGTGTGTAGCCAGGACCGGTCCCAAAGGGAGCAGCTGGGTTGCTTTCCCATTTTACTAACTGGTGTGGCTCCAGCAGGGCTGCTGGGCTTGCTTTTCTTCACTGCGCTGCAAAGGAAGAGGCTCACCAGCAGCACACAGGAGAAAACAGTGCCAACGTTCAGGGGACTTTGGTAGCATTTAGATGTTTTAAGTCCAAGAGGGTGTCCCTCATTCTCTTTGTAATTCCTTCAGTAGTTTTTCTGGTGAGGATTGAGCTGCCTGGGGTTGATGGGTCCCCTTGACTTTGCCCAGAGCTGCTGCCTTCTTGAGAAGGCTGTCTGCAGTTTGGCGTGTGCCATGCTCTTGAGCTGCTACTCGTGCCCAGTATAGACCTTGCTGAGCTTCTCAAAAGGTAGGATGATCAGCTTTGTGCAGACTGGATACAGAGGTGTTGGGGTTCCTGACATACATTGTAGCACAGTGGTTGGAGCACTCGCCCAGAAAAAGAGAGCCTCTTCAGTTTCCTCTTCATCTGGAGGGCTGGGTGGATGCCCAGCAGACTGGCTGCCAGGCTCTTCCTGCATGAAGACACTGTCTTGAAAGAGTCAAGATTCACTAGACCAGAGGGGGTGGTAGCAAAGGGAAACTTGGTTCCCTGCTGACTGAGTGAGGCCTTAACTTGTAAAATGGGAGCCTTGAGTTTTGCTCTCTGTTTCCAGTAGCATTTATACATCTAATAATCACTTGATACATGATGCATAATTAGTGCTTGGAGTAGGGATCCTGTTCTCATCTGATTGCATTTTAAATGAAGGAATTGCATAGGTGTCGGAAGCCAGGCAAGGGCTGTGATTGTGAACCCTGATCATGATGCGTGCCTTTCAGCAGGCAGATGAAACACCAGTCTCTGCAGAAGGGCAGAAGGAGGGATGAAGCTGAGCTACCCCTCTGTTGTTGTCTTTGGCTTACTTAGATGGAGCCTGCCAGAAATGTGGATTATCCTGTGTCCGCCTCACAAGGTCTCAAATCTTCTTGTGCTCCACTTAAGGAATTTAGACCCCAGTAGATTCCATTATGGAAGGCAAATGCTGGGTGTCACTAGGCCAAAGTCCTTTGGGATTCTTGTTCTTAGCATTTAATAGGTCCACATGTGATCATCTTGTTCTCTGTGAAGTTTTGAAGAACTTCTACTTGGTCTGATCTGGCAGGTTATTAGTCACTGCTGTTTGTTTGTTTGTTTGTTTTTAAATCTGTGTAATTGTTTAACAAAGAGGAAAAATAGATTTAAAGAGCAAAAAGGTGTATAATAAACCTCTTCCTTGCATGAACTTGAAGATTGTTTCAATACTTATACTGGCAGAATTCCTGTCAGCTGGTTCTATTAGCCCAGTGTATCTAATATTCCTAGAAGATGTAATATAAATATGTTGTCTCCAAATGGCAACCAGAAGTCACTGCTGTTCTTTTATCCATCTTTTTGTTGGGTTTGTTTTCCTTTTGGAGGGGTCAGTAGAGGGCAAATGCATATTTAAAAATTTTCTTCCTTTCAGTTCTGGTTTCGCAGAGACTGGGATGCAAAAATATCCAGAGATAGATGCTGTAAGTATTTTCTGCTACTGTGCCTGGCCCTTTAATCTCTTTTAAGAAGTTTAATCTTGCCCTTCCATGCCCAGTAGATGTTGCTGTTGAATCAATAACACCGAAAGAGGACAAGGGGGGAAAAGTTTTCAGAGCTCAGAAGGTATGGTAAATATTCCAGTATCTTATCCAGAGAAAAGTTGTCTAATTTTTTTTTTTAAAAATGCAGTGCCCATAGTGTTTTCATTTATATATATCAGCTTGGGAATCTGCAGCATAAATGAGAAGTAAGCATTGTGCATGTATCTGAGTTACAGGTTTAATATCCTGTGGAGGAACTGCAGGGAAAGTGGATTTTCTACCTTGCATCTCCATTATGGTTTTATTAAATATTTATATTTTGTACTCATCCTAAGAAGCGTAAATCATGTCAGTCATGGTGATATCTATAGCACGATATAATTTTGCAAAGCTATATTGTATGGTA